GCTGAAGTAGAAAACTGAGTTGGAATTAGAAAAGGTGATTTGAACTAAATTAGAATCAGAAATCTGTAACAACCTTGGCATGTGTTTGTATGTGTCCGTGTATGTACTGTATCTTCTTATTGTGCCTATTGCAATCAGTATGGCTGTGGGAGTGCAAGAAGAACTCAGATTTTCAGGGATGAAATGAAAAGATGACTGATTGCTTTGCCTCTGTGAGAGATATGAGGGGATCAGCACTTTGTGTCTTTGCTGCAGCTTTCATATTTCACACTTCTGTCCTGGTTATGTACATGAGGATTGTCTCTGTCACTTTGCATATCTGTTGCTGTTGTGTTCAGTGGCATTCATATAAATCTATCCAGATGCCAAACAGCTGCTCTGGCTTGTAAATGATCTTGTCAAGCCTTTTCCTATATTCACTCTGAAATGGTCTGAATTTAAAGCATACCACTGTGCAGCACATGTGCTTTACCTTGCATGTGTAGATAGGTTCGTGATTGAACAACTTCTCTTTGTTTATGTTCACAGAGCAAAGAGCCTCTAGTACATTGGAACAGTCACATGAGAAAAGGTATTTATGCTTTATATCAGATTTACCTACGTCCAAATGACTCAGCTTTTCTCACTGGACTCATGACAGTATGTTTGAGCAGATCTGTAATCATGTGCCCGGACCAACCACGACCGGCCAGTCGCTTGGTGACAGCGACTGCTCTGTGAAGTTTGCTCCTGTCTTTTACTAGAGACAACAGGTTTCTGATCATCTGATCTTTTTTTTCTAGAGACAACAGAAGTAGTGACGTGCAGATATCAGTGTGACCCCTAAGCTACTTCCAGCTCTGTTTTTCTAATACACACTGCCTTTTGTCTGGGTTTCATCTGGGGCTTACACTGTCACCTTGCCCTTGTGCAGCTTATTTTCAGATATGTGACCATCTACGTTATGGATACGTGCCACATGATTTAAATGACTGAAGATTTTAGTATAAAACAGAAACAAAAAGAGACCATATCAAAGCTTTATATGGCCTCCGTCTGCTCTAAGAGGAGTGGCTGAAAAACAGATGTTCTTTCCTCTTCCTGTCCTGTTTTCGTTGCCGTTCCATTAGAAACAGTACCTGCTGATATTTCCTCTACCACTTCTTGTATAAATACCCAAACTGAACTGTTACACTGCCCCAGTGGAAGATACCAAACCAACTCAGGGAAAGCTTTACAGCAATCATCATTTCTTGTTATACACCACTGAACCTAGAATTTGTGATTGTTATATTGTACGTAAAGTGGTCAACCGGACTTGGGTCTTTTATATTTGATTGTCTCGTTGGCATTTGTAGGTTCTCGTCAGCATTAAACCATCAGTGTGTTTGTCCGTGTGTGCCCTGTTCCTTACAGGGAGATTAGGTTCCATAATTGTGCCCAGTCTACGGATGATGAGGGCAGCATGGAGCTGGCAGAATCCCTCGAACACCTCACCTTGTCTGAGTTCCTCAAAGAGTATGTGCAGGCTTGAACTCTGTCCACCTACTTAGGCTTGTTTAACCATCCAAAATAAGCAAACTAATCCCAGAAAGTCTACAACCTTACTTACAGTGCGGTGCATTCTCCTAATGACGACAACCCGCGGCCAGTTCTTTCTTCTTTCCTCTCTTCAGTTTCCGTTTCTTGTCTCTGCTTTTTTCTTCTTCTTTACTTTTCTCCCCCTCATTGTTTTTCATCTTCTTGTTTCCTTTCGTCTCCTCTCATCTGATCTTGTCACCTCTCCTTGTTTCATCTCCTCATGTTGTCTCCTTGTTTCCTGTTTTCTCCTCTCTTGGCCTTAATTTCTCTCTTTTCTTCCCCTTGTTTTCTTTCCTCCCTTCTTGTTTCCTCTCCTGTCCTCTCCTTTCTTGGTTCCCTTGTCTCCTCTCCCGATTCACTGCTGCTTTCCTCTCCTCTAACAGCAGAACACTAACGTGTCATTGTCACTTGTTTCAGCTACTGTTTCTACTTACTTTCACAGCACAGAGACAGCGCAATGAATTAACACAATGTTTGCTACATTTTAGAGACTACACCTTTTTTTTGTGCTGAATTTCACTTCAGTTGCTTTCACTAACATTTATTTTGCCTGAAACCACAGTACATGCTGTGCAATATCAGAAGAAATTGTATTTTGGATGAACTGTATATCAACTAAGCACGACCCAGGTGATGAACCAGTTATGTGCCTGTGCACTTTAACAATATACAGCTGTACACTTCATACTCATATGGACCTCCTGTCTGCATTAAACAAGCCTGTTATCCCTGCTTTTGTTATTTTGTAGTCTCAACAAGATGAAAAGCAGGATGATGTGACTGACTGACATGCCTGCAAACCAGCAGTGATTTTTTTTTTTTTTTTGTCCAGGAAGTTTAAAACACAAATGCAAAGTAACAAATTTCACTGACATTATTTGAACTTTTCTATAGAATTGAAGAGGAGGAGTTGGATAAGTACAGCATCCCAACCAAGGTGGAGTCAGAGAAGTACAAAGTCATTCGCACCTTGAGTTTTCTCAAGAACAGAATGTCCAGTACACGCAACAAGTCCAAGGTAAACCTAAACCACCAGCCGTCTACACCTCTGCTTAGGTTACAAAGAGAATATTTGGAATAACTTGTTTTGCTGTACTCTACATTCAAGCTAGTTTTACATGCTACACCAGACTCTTATTCTGCCTTTCAGTATTTCCAGTGAAGTGTGTGCTCAATGTGGACCTATTGGCCACACTTCATTCATGTAAAAGTATATGTGGTACTGAATTTTAAAGCACTCATATAAAGGCCAATATCCCAGGTCTGACCTCAGGTATTGAATATGGAACTCCGTCTTTCACTCTCTGGGAGACACAACCAGGAAACATTTCTGGGATTAACCCAAGGTCAATGGGACAGACCAAACATGGTGTCCAACTTCTTTCCTTTTAATGATTAATCCCCTGTTGCTGAGTCAGCACAGAGACTGAACGCCCTCCCCTACTTGCATCTGCTGTTTATGCCGTGATCCATTTCCTTGTCAGTGGACTGTCTTACGATTTGGACAAAGTCATGGATCCCGTCCAGGATCATTTATGTACTTAGATGTGGGAAAGTTTAGTCTACAAAAAGAGAAACTTGACTAAGATATTTACTCTGGTTTATAGGAACATAAATTAAGGCCTATCACATTTTTTTTCTCTGCTTATGTGATCTCTTTGTTTATGACTATGTCTCTGGCAAAGTTTTCAAAGGGGAAAGGGAAGGACAAAGAGGCCAAGGATAGACAGCTGAATGGACATCGCTTTGCGACAGGGTCCTGTTTAGGCCCCACTGTGTGTGTGGTGTGTGACAAACTTGCACCTGGAAAGGACCTGCTACATTGCTCCAGTAAGTAAAGGTTTAATGCCAAGAACCGTGCAGTACAGTCCTATTCTTTGTCAAAGTTCACATACATAAAAAATGTTTTTCCTAGGCTGCACTCTCATCGTCCATAAAGGCTGTAAGGAATCTGTCCCCCCTTGTTTGAAGGTGAGTGTTGCAGTGAAATGTTTTCACTGCTCATCTCTGCTGAAGCCTGGCTTTGCATCAGTTGGTTATACACATTTTAACTATCTTCTCTCTTTTTGTATTACTTAGAAACTTCAGGATAAATATTCCATTACCATGGTGAAGAACAGGACAGCATCTCTCCCACAAAGTGAGTTCACAGGACGAGGGTCAACGATCGATTGTTGTCAAGCCGCATCTTAACCACATACATGAAATCTTTAGCTAGTAAGGTCATTCCCTGGGTAATACTGTTACCATGTAGCTGAATTGTCTTTTCTTTGCCCACAGATTTCATAGTGAGAGACAGTGCTCCCCAGCGTGTAATGCCCATTTCAACCTCTCTACCTGCCATGACGCCAAAGGAGAAGAACGGCAATGTGACCCAGTCCAGTTCTCTGACAGGGAGTTTCCCCAACAGTGACAGGTCAAAAAGAGCTCAGACATAAAACACATAATATGATATAGGTAAAAAATGTAGGCTATTGCTTGTTCATGTTCTTCTTTTTGGTACAGTTGGCTCAGTGAGAGTTCAGAGACAGAGTCTGATGCCCTGAAGGTGACCAGCCAATCAGAAGAGCTCCTGCAGACTCCAGTGTCCTCCACCTCCACAGACTCATCCTTCGGAGAAGGTATGTGGTGAATATGGCTACTGGGTTTTGGTTTTTACAGATTTGCACTGACAAAATACCCAAAAGAAACGTAGTAGTGACATGGGTTTTATTTTCCAATGCTGTCAAATGTTGTACTACGAGGTCCTTTTGCAAGCAGCATAGCTCAGAAAATCATCTGTTTTCTGGTTATTCTCATACAAAAAGCACTGTTCTGGACTCATTAATTAAAGGGCTATTTAAATTGATTACTAAATTGTTATCATGCTGGGACACAGGCAGTCAGTCCAGGGGTCAGGAGGACTTACTTCTTTAGTCAGTGATTTGAAGTTGCCAAATGCTGCCTAAATATTCCATGTAAAAATACCAATTTAAGTATTGTCAGATAAAGGGTGCCAGTTTGTAGTACGTTTTGGAGGAAACACCTTTTTTCTGCCTGAATGCAGAGGAAAAAAGCTGTCTTTTAGTTTTTCATCAATACTTAAAGGAAACATGCGATTGCGGATAAAAGGCTGTGAGAAGCATCTCAAAACACATATATGCAACCCGATCCACGCGTATCAGGTGATCACGCGTCTTTTCAGATACAGTATGTATATGCACAGGTAGATTTACAGAAGCAAATGTTATTAGATTTATGATCCTAACATTGGAATATGTATGTAGGATACCAGCAATTATTCAAGCAGGGTTGTATTTATTAGTAAATGATTACACATTTGTTCAAATCAGCGAGTGTTTGTGGACCGGAAGAAAAATTGGTGAACATTATAGTTACGCACAAGTCAAAATACACATTTGTAATTGTTTTCTGTGGCTCATGAAACAAACATATGTTACTCCATATTCAGTATTTACTACCAGGTATGAACCTGAGATGGGTAAAAGTAAAGAGCCTGGTCTGAAGTGTTATGAGTACTGATTAATAAAACTGAATTCTGGCAGTTTTGCATAAAGCTACTATTTTGCCTGTTTCTCTCCAAAGATTGTGTGGATGCATATACCCACAGTGATGTCTCAGCTGAGGCTGTGGATTACGAGGCTGAGTCGTGGAGTCTCGCAGTAGAGCACAAGTTCTGCAAGAAGCAGGACAAACAAACTGTCAAGAGACAGGATGTTATCTATGGTAAGCAGATGTCAGACCTGTGAAAGAAAAACAATGGAAGGTGTTATTTTCTGCCTTTGTCAGTGTCACATATATAAAGTTACTCTAGTGGCACATAATTGCTTTAAAATAGCTGTGACTATGTAATACACTCTGGTTTATGGAATGATATAAGACATGTTTGAGAGTGATTGTTTTCGTGTTGAACCTCTGATGCAGAGCTGATGCAGACTGAGCTTCACCACCTACAGACGCTACACATCATGGCCAAAGTTTTCCGGCGAGGTATGAGGGAGGAAGTGCAGCTTGATGCAGAAGCGGTGGAGCGGGTCTTCCCCTGTCTGGACCAGCTGCTTCTCTTCCACCACGCCTTCTTCGCTTTCATGAAGGAGCGGCGGCACAGCTCTTCCCAGCCTCAGGGACACAGGAACTACCTCATCCAGCGAATAGGAGACATCCTGGTGCAACAGGTTAGCTCATCTTCTGGGGCTCCCCTCTCTTGTAGGTGTAATTTATGGAAACCAGTGGCGGTGTGAATCACTGGTCTGTATTTTTCATAGTTTTCAACTGAGAATGGAGAGAAAATGAAGCAATTGTATGGACAATTCTGCAGTCGCCACAATGAGGCAGTTGGCTTTTTCAAAGAGCTGTTGCAGCAAAACAAGAGGTTTCAGAACTTTATTAAGGTACTTTACCATTTTCAGATCATCTTTTTTGGCAAATGTATCTTGCCTCCATCCAATTGTAAAATAATACTTAATGCATCTTTTTCAAGCAACAAGGCAATAATTCTTTGGTGAGACGGAGGGAGATTCCAGAGTGCATCTTGCTGGTAACCCAAAGGATCACCAAGTACCCAGTACTGCTGGAGAGGATCTTACAATACACTAAAAGTAAGTCATCTACTGCCCTCTGCTGGCAACATGGCCATGTAGTCCCCAAAACCCAGCGCTTGTCAAAAATAGCACAATATACAATATTTTGGTTGTAAATATACAAGTAAACCTTGATGATATTTTTCATTCTTTGAGTATTTCTCCTTCTTGGTCACTCAGAGGAAACGGAGGAGCATGCTGACCTTTCAAAAGCACTGACTCAGATCCGGGAGGTGATAGCAGCTGTGGACTTGAGGGTCAGTGAAAACGAGCGGCATCAAAGGTTACAAGGCGTGTGGAACCGCATGGAGAACCGCAGCTCAGCCAAGCTGAAAAACGGACATACCTTCCGGAAGCAGGACATGATGGGGCCGGGACAAACGCTCCAACACCAGGGCCTGCTCCTGTGGAAGACTGCCACTGGTCGACTAAAAGGTGCGACTGACAAACAGTGTACTCTCGTTTTTAATACTGTTGATTTGCGTCTCTTTTACATGACAGAAAGAGACAAAGTGGTGACATGATAACATTTTCCTACCTCTCCTCACCTCTGCAGACGTCCTGGCGCTCCTCCTCTCTGACACACTCATCTTCCTACAAGAAAAAGACCAGAAGTATACATTTGCCACAGTGGTACGTGCACATGAATTGCATCAGGTTGAGCTCATGAGACCAGTACCCAGTAATCAAAATGTTACATCCTGAAATGAATTATTTTAAGTTGGGCCATTATCACCTTATGTAAAATAATATTTCCCCACTTTAATGTGCTCCAGGACCAGAAGCCTCCAGTCATCGCACTGCAGAAGTTAATAGTGCGAGAAGTAGCAAATGAAGAGAGAGGTATGTTTCTGATCAGTGCATCAGCCGCTGGGCCAGAAATGTATGAGGTCCACACATCATCCAAAGAGGAAAGAAACACCTGGATGAGGCTCATTAGAGAGGCTGTAGAGAGGTGTGTGTATATATCTGTATGTTATGTGTGCATGCAGGGGAAAAGACAGATAGTCAGAACAAAATCTTCTGACTTCACCTTCTGCAAACAGTTAGTCTAACATTTCTTTAACTGTTTTTTCTGCTTAGCTGTCCGGAGGAGGAAGAAGAAGATGCAAGTGAATCTGAAGAGGAGAAACGAGCTGCTGAGGCCCGTATGCAGAAGATCTATAAGTTACAAGGTATGTGGAAGCTTGCGACAGCAAATACTTATTATTTTTAATTCATAGTCTAGAAGGTTTAGATAGATAGATAGATAGATAATCCTTTATTGTCATTGTAACAATGACAATAAAGGAGAAACGAGCTGCTGAGGCCCGTATGCAGAAGATCTATAAGTTACAAGGTACGTGGAAGTCTGTGACAGCAAATACTTATCATTTTTAATTCATAGTCTTGAAGGTTTAGATAGATAGATAATCCTTTATTGTCATTGTAACAATGACACACACATACACACGCACAGGCATATTATATTTTGAGTGTGGTAACTGCTGTTGGGTAAAAACTATTCCTGAATCTAGTGGTCTTTGATTTAATTGCTCTGAACCGTCTACCTGACGACAGCAGGTCAAAGAGTGAACGTCCTGGGTGTGAAGTGTCCTTAATGATGTTCTGAGCTTTTCTGAGGCATCAGGAACTGTGTAGTCCTTCCAGAGTGAGGTCCTTCCAGAGTGAGGAGAGGGCAGCCGACGATCTCCTGAGCCCTATTAAT